CTCTCTCAAAAATAAATAAACATTAAAAAAATTTTTTTTTAAAGGTGAGAAAGTAGCTGGTACTTTGTTATATAACCCACTTAAAAAGAAGCCAAAATTTATGAATGCCCAGGAGTTATTTTGTCGTTAAAGCAGAGAACGCAAAATTGTCGGCAGACTAAATGAATCCTTCCCCCCTTCCTTTTCCGCGGGAAACCCACAGGTTTCAAGCAAAAGAGTGATCCCCATATGTTGTATTGTTTAAGCCTTGACTTAAGCCACACAATTATACCCATTTCAGAGATAAGCAGACTGGTTCTCCAAGAGGTTCAGTCACTTGCCCAAGGTTACCTGGGACTCAAATCCAGATCTGTGTAACTCCAAAGCCAGAGAGAACTCAAAGCATCTGAAGAACTGAAAATAGGCCAGGGTGGCTGGAACATAGCGTGTGAGGGCCAGATAATGGAGGGATTTGTAGGTCATGGAGAGAAGCTTGGGTTTTATTGATGGTGCCCTGGGGAGCCACCAACAGGTTTTTAAGCAGAGGAGTGACAAGGCCAGATCTGCATTTTATAAGAATTCTTCCGGCCCTGCATCAAGAACAGATCGGAAAGGAACAAGGGCGAAACGGGAAGAGCTATGGGGGGGGGCTGTGGCGCGGGGGTTACAGACACGGGGACATAACATATTCACAAGACGTTTCAGGGAGAGCCACGGAATTTGGAAGCAGATTGAATGTGGGGCTTGAGGGAAAGGAAGAGAAGGAGAATCCCACGTTTCTGACTTCAGCTGAGGAGAAAGCGGTGACGTTTGAAACGCCTGGAGAAAAAGTGATCTGGGGGAAGCATTTTAATTAAATGGGCCTTGTGGTTTCCGTCCCTGGCCCACATTCGTGTACAGGAACAAGCACAAACTGCATTAACAGTCACCCCTTCATGCAAACTGACGCCCCTTGGACCTGCCCAGGCCTGGTTGAGCCCAAGTTAGGCCACGGAGCTGAGACCCCCTAGTACATTTGGTATCGTTTACGCCTCTTGCCTTTTTGTTAAAGACCTCCAGTCCCCTGCCTTTGCAAGGTTAGAGAGAATCCTCAAGAATCTATACTGGCCCAAGAGCTACCAAACACAGCTCTTTCGGTGTGCTAGAAACTGGGTAGCAACCTTAAAAGCAACTGAATATATTCCCCTGTCCCGTGAGCATGACCTGAATTATTTAATGATTTGCTTTCACTGGACACAGGAGAATAGAGTGCTTCAGCCAATGGCCTTTGGAGTCAGACGGATTGGGTTTGGTAACCAGCCTCTGCCACATTAATGGCCATGTGATCTTGGGGGAGGAAGCGCAGGGATTTGCACATAGCAGGGTTTACTTGATGAAGGTAGTAGTGATTTGGGGAAGCTGAGAAAAGAGAATTTCAGCCAAAGGGGCTCTTAGAGATCTTCCTGACGTTATATAGATGGGGTAAACTGAGGCCTGCAGAGATGAAGTATCCACACTGGAGGTAAATGCCACACCCTGACCCGCCCCCCTCCCCCAGCCCAGTCTTCTCTCCAGACCTCCTCTGGGAAGAGGTGTGGACACTGCGGGCGGCAGCGGGACCCACACAATGTGCATTTTCAGTGAGTTGCAAGATTGGCTTAGGGTGGAGGGGCACAGGGGTATCCCACGGACTGGATGGGTTTTTCCTCATTTGTACCGAGTAAGCAGCACGATGTTTTGAAAATTATCTAAACGAGTTGCTGCAATTTGCAAATTGGGTGGTTTCATACAAAAATCCAAATTTCTGAATTTTGGGGGGAGGGGATATCAGAAAACGTGGCCAGGGGCGCCTGGGTGGCTCAGTCAGTTGAGCGTCCGACTTCGGCTCAGGTCATGATCTCACAGTCTGTGAGTTCGAGCCCCATATCGAGCTCTGTGCTGACGGCTCAGAGCCTGGAGCCTGTTTCCGATTCTGTGTCTCCCTCTCTCTCTGCCCCTTCCCTGCTCCTGCTCTGTCTCGCTCTGTCTCAAAAATAAATAGAAACATTAAGAAAAAAAAAATTAAAAAAAAAATTTAAAAGAAAAAAAAAAAAAGAAAACGTGGCCACCCCTGTATTCCTACACGGCGACAAGCAGCTGGAGCTTGACTTGGTGCTGCTCCTTGAGGCTCTGCAGTCCATAGTTGGCCACGGTCCCTACCTCTCTCTCTCTTGTCTCCTGGACAGCACAGCCCCATGTCGCCTGGTGTCACCTGCAGTTACCCTCATGCTGGAGCCACCGCGTTCTGAACATGTGGCCCACTTCCCTCTTTGATAGGATCCGCCCTGGCCTGGGGGCATATGTTTATGGTTCTGGTCTTGGACTATTTCCTTTGGAAAAAAAAAATGTGTTGGGAGATCAAGCTGTATACATGTTCCAAGCCCTCAGTACCATGTTACCTGTTGTTACATAATCCTGAGTCATCTCTCTCCAACTCTCCTGGTAGCTGTGTTCCCTCTGAAAGCTTCCTCCTCACATCCATTTGGAAATAGAAGATCCTGCCTGCAATCATGGTTGGGCTTTTTCCCTACATTCCCTATTTTTTCTTCTTTTTCTTCTGGATCTTGCCAAGCATGAAGGTTTTCATTTTTCCATGTTCTTCCCCTTCCCCACCCAACCCTCTCGCCTGCCCATCACGAGCGTCTCCCCACCTCCTCCCTGCAGAAGCCTGGAGGCCCAGTGCTCTGCCCAGGCCCCCTCTGCAGCTCTGAGTGGCTTGCCCTTCTTTTCTGCATCTGGGACGGGGGGGCGGCGCAGGGTCCAAGGACAGACAGCATTGCTAAGTTTGGTATTTACCGGAGGGCAAATGGGGGGTTGGATTTTCTGAGTTCCTTGGAGCAGGAAAGATGATCACCAGCCACTCGTCCCCGTGGGTTGCTCCAGATGGCGGGATCAAAGATCTTTACTGGCCTCCCCTCCGCTTTTAGAGATGAATAAATAAGGATGTCCTGTCCGAGATATTTGGAGCATCCCCCTTTGATCCCCTCTTCCACAGGCTCTATTTAGCCCTTCGTCACTTTCAAACTTGCCACGTCCTCCCAACCAGTCTCCCCACCTCCATTTCATACGCTTCTGCCTCTTTTCCACCCTGCCTCACACGTGACCAGGTCTCCCGGCTGCCTAAACTGCCATCAAGAGTTCCCTGTCACCTTCAGAATAAAGCTTAAGGCCTTGGCCAACCAGGTGGGGCCCGCCGAACCTCCCAGCCTCATCTCTTACTATCCCCATGAGCAGTGGGCGCTCAGGCCAAGAAGCCACAAGCTCTTCACCTGGTCCTCTCGCTTTGTCTGTGCCTGGGACAACCCCTAACGATCCTTTGGGAATCGGCCTTGTCCCTGATCCTCTCCCCACCAAAGTGGCTCGATTGTTTCGGGCGCCCTCTGCGCTCACATCCCTCTGCTGTGGCCCTGCCTGGCTGTCCTGTATTTACAGATATGTCTCCCAGACTCGGAGGCTCTCAGACAAGGACCCTCTGGTTCGTCTGTGTCCTCAGAACCTGGCACAGGGCCTGGCAGGAGAAGCAGCTAATAAAGACTGGAAGAACTGAAAACAATGCAGCACTGAATTTCAACGAAGACACAGGCCGTTACAATTGGAAGCGGCTGTCCTGGGATCTTTGAGAATGTATCTCCTATTGCATACATACAAGGGCTGTCCTTCAACGAGATGATCACTGGCCTTCCTCCACCCTGCCAGCCACAGGCCCTTCCCCTGTCCAGTCCTCTCACAGGACTAGTCCTTCCACCACCGGGCGCAGGCCCCTTGACCACAAAGTGCCTTGACTTCCTGCTCGCCGTGTTCAGGGTCTAGACCTTGTGACTCCCGATGGACGGTCTCCGTCTGTGGTACTTCTCCATCCATCCAACCAAGTATCTACACTGGACCACACACTCCAACTGGGTGCCGGGGACAAAACGGACAGCAAAATCAGATGGCGCTTCTGGCCTCACTGCAACTAATGGTAAGACATGTAAACAGACACTCGCAAATAGCTGTAAAATATCAACCGTGACGCGTGCCTCGAAGGAGAAATCAGCAGTGCTATGAAGGCCCGTCACAGGGAGATTGGTCCTGGTGTGAGGGGCAGGAAAAGCCCAGCGTGGGGGCGGCAGCAAGAACGCGGGGGAGTGTGGGACAGATAAGCGGGCACCTCGGAGCCGGGAGGCCGTGACCAGGAGCCCTTTTTTGTGTGTATCAGCAATAGGACGACACTGGCCTGTGTTTAGGCATCATTGTGTCACTGAGCTGGCGTTCTAAATGTTTCTTTGTTCATTCAGTTATACAAGCATGCTCAGTAAGATACGTGCATTTTTCCTGTGATGTCATTTTTTTTCTTATATAGTACAAAGTGTGCATCTCGATACCATCTATGCCTGTCTATATATAAACACACAGACACACTCACACATGCGCAAGCACACGCGCATAGAGCTTCTTCCTTCTCCTTGGCACTCAGTTCTGCATAAGGCAGTCGGTCCGCTGAAATGCAGCCATCATGATCAGCGCCTTCATGATTATGTAACTAACACATCTTCTATGTTTCTATCATGTCATATATTTGAAATGTACAGAACTCTTCAGTGAGCGCCACTTCACCAGGAGACGTACATGCATTGTCTCCCCTCCTCACAACAGCCCCACTGGTAATTTCTGTTTCCTCATTTTGCAGCTGTGGAGACGGAGGCTCAGAGATGTGAAGCCGCTTGCCCAGGGTCACACAGCCAGAAGTAGGGGAAGGCAGCCCTGGATCCGAGCTCTGCGGGATCCCACCTCCGTGCTGCCTCCTTCCCAGCATTTCAGGACCCAAAGGGACCTGAAAGAAAGGCCAGACAGCTGGCTGAGTTAGGAGACGCCTGTGGCTGTGCAAGTTTGCCTCTATTTCAATAAAGAGCCATTCAGGGAATGGGGACCATGACCGTGGCTGCACAGACCAGCTGGGCTCTGGGGACTCGATGGAGCCGCCCAGGCATCGACAGCCCCAGCACAATAGATCTGCTGACCCAGCAGTCAGAGGTGAGCCCGGAGGTCACTGGCCCTTGGCCGAGAAGAAGGAACACAGATCTGGGATCCTTTTCCACGGACCACACAGGGAGGGTGACAGAAGTCTCTGAACTCAGATGGCCAACCTCAAAGCCCACTGGGCATTTGTCCCAGGCCTTTGGGGTCAGCCCTAGATTCATATGCAACCTGCGCGTCTGACATTTGCTAGGCACTTTCACATGCATCTTTCCACCAATCCCCGTAGTGACCCTTGGAGAATAGTACTTTTAATATCCCCATTTAGAGAGGAAGAAAGGGAAGCTCAGAGAGGTTCAGAGTCGGCCCCAAGCTCACACAGCTACTAGGTGGTAGAATTTCACTCCATAGACTTTCACGTCCATTCATTCAATAAACATTTATGGCACGTCTACACGGTCCAGGCACTGTTCTAGGCCTTTGGAATACACAGCTAAACAGAACAGACAAAATCCCCACTCTTTGTGGGGCTGACATTTGAGTGCCACGGTGCCGGGGCCCGCGCACTCACTATTGAAATAAACTAAGACCCCGGTCATGTGGTTGTGGAGCTTGAAGTAGTGGAGGAGATAGGGGTGCAGAACATTTCAGAGCACTGCAGAAAGCTTGGGGGTGCTCTGACAGGTGTCGGCAGAGGGGCTGTGGAACAGAGGGTGGGCATCAGGGAAGGATTCCTGGAGGAGGTGGTACCCGAGATGGTCCCTGCAGGATCAGCCAGGGACGGGACCGTCAATCCAGGTTGAATTCACAGCTGGCAAAGTAGCCCGAACCTGGTCTCTTTGGGCTGCTGTGCTCGGAGGCGCAACAAAGCTGCCCAGACCTGATTTGTCCTCCCAAATATAGCTTGAGCAAAGGCCCTGAAGCAAGAGGCAGGGCTTTGGTTCAGGGAACTCTGTGGCTACAGTCAGGGGTTGATATGGCTGAAGACGAGAATGGGCCTCGGGCTTTCAGGAAGCACAGTAAGTTTTGAGCAGGAAAGTAGCCCAACGGCTTTGATGGTTTCAAACATCACTCTGGGGCCGAGCAGAGGCTGAAGTGGAGGTGACAGGGAATGGGCAGGGCTCTCCAGGCCATAGCAGGACTGGCAGGGGGCTTCTCCAAGCCCAGTGCTCTGAAAATTGTTTTTTAATTTATCTTTTCAGAGGCAAAATTGTCCTTGCTCATTAAAAAATAAAAGAAGAAAGGAAAGGAAAGGAAAGGAAAGGAAAGGAAAGGAAAGGAAAGGAAAGGAAAGGAAAGGAAAGGCTGAAAATAGGTGGGGAGAAACTTCTCTAACAGCAAAGTCAAGCCCAATGTTCTCTTTTTAAAACATTTTATTATGAAATAGTTCATGTCAAGGAATATACGCAGTTTATATTGGTTTATAGAGCATGATAAAAAAAGAAACACCTGTGACCCCACCGCTCAATAGTGTAAGAACTGTAACTTGTTGGGGTGATCAGAGCTGAGGTGGGGTCCCCTTTGATGCCCCCTCCAGTCCGCCCCCTACATCCCCACCTACCAAGAGCTAAATAACTATGAGGTGAATTTCATGTTGGTCTCTTCGTCTTCCTTTGTCTTTTCTGCTTACACATATAAATGTGTCCTTAAACGATATAATGCTTGATTTGCTTGTTTTCAAGCTGTATTAAAAACGTATCTTGGGCCCTTCTGCCACTCTGCAGTTTTAAATTCAGGGCTTCGTGTCTCCGATTCACCATGCTGATGCATGAAGCTGTAACTTATTTGCTCTCGCAGGTAGACGGTACGTTCACTGTATGCATACACCCCACCTCATCTGTATCCTGTCCCCTGCTGGCGGGCCTCCAGGTGGTACCAGCTGATGGAGGGACCATCTCCAACGGTGCCGGTATAGGCATTCATGTGTGTACCTCCCAGAGCACCTGTGCACGAGCTTCCCTAGGGAACCTCAAGGGTGGACTCCCTGGGTTGCAGGGCCCAGGGCCCTTTCCACGTCTCTGCCCCAAGCGGGTCCCGGCAGTCCCCGCTCCGGCCTTAGTACCAGCATACTGGAGCCCAGAGTGCAGCCGCCCCTTGCAGGCAGGCCCAGGACAGCCCCTCAGTCATTTCCCGGGACTCAGCAGGCTCCCCAGACATCCCTCTTCTGCCAGCAAGACCAGCAACCCTCCAGCTGGCTCCTAATTAGGTCACAAGAGAATTACTCTCTCACTCTGGGTCTGTTCCACTTCCTTCAGCACTTGGGCCTAGGCAGGCTCTGTTCACAAGCCACTGGGTCCAAGGAGACAGAATACTATCAACTATGGAGCTGACTGCCTGCCAGGCACCATTCAAAGCACCTTCCCTGTGTACGAACCCACTTGATCTTCACAACAGGCTGCACGAGGCGAGGACTACATTATCCCCATTTTATAGATGAGAAGCTGAAGCACAGGAAGTCCAGGAGCTTGCCCAGAGTGACGCATGTTGGAAGCAGACGGCAAACCCAGGCAGCCGGGCTCCTGCACTCCCCACCACTCTGCTAGCTCATCTCTTAGAAGAGGGAGAGAGGCGACTCCTTGCCCATTCCTAAATCCGTCAGCATTCCTTTCCATGCAAGGAAAAGAAACAGAACTTGAATAAATGTAAGCAAAAAGGGCACTTACTGGCTGGCAAAAATAAATCCAGAAGCACAGGTAGAAAGCAGATCTCGGGACCCACTGTGTCCCCGGGGGCAAACACTCAGAAACCTCTCCCTCCCTACCTCTCTCTATCCCCACCTTGACATCCCTCCCTGTAAGTGTGGCCTTTGTTTTCTTATCTCAGGAGGGGCAGGAATGTGGCTACTCTTCGCCTTTCAACAGCTCCACCAGTTCCCATTAAAAAACAAAACACAGGGCACCTGGGTGGCATAGACTTTTAAAGAGTCTGACTTGATCTTGGCTCAGGTCATGATCTCACAGTTCGTGAGTTTGAGCCCCACATCAGGCTCTGCACTGACAGCATGGAGCCTGCTTGGGATTCTCTCTCTCCCTCTCTCTCTCTGTATCTCCCCTGCTTGTGTGCTTGTGCTCTCTCTCTCAAAATAAATAAATTTTTTAAATGTATTTAAAAAAAACCCACAAACAAACAAAGCAAACAGCAGGGAAGGGTGCTGATGAGCTCATTCTGGGCCACCTATCCTTTCCTGAGCAATACCAGTGGCCAGGGGAGGCTGGCATTGGCACAGGGAGGATCAGGGGCCCCATCCCGGGGGGGGGGGGATAGCACAAACGCCCCTTTCCCAGCACAACCAGAGCCAGAGATGGTGAGCAGGGCAACTGACCTGCAACGCCAGTTTCATGTGTTACCAGGGCCCTGGTGTTCCTGTGCCAAGCAATGGAATAAGCCTCAGGGGTCCCTGCCTCCTCTCTGGAAATTCATCATGGCATGGGCAGCCCTTCCTTTTTGAGCAAGGCCAAGGTCATTACCCAGGATCCAACTAGGCTGAAAAGAATTCTTTTCTTAATAGCTTTCCATTTGGCATTCAGGGAAAGGAGGTTTCCACTAGGTATTTTTAACCAACAAAACCTTCCATGCACCTAACCCATGGAGAGCCCCAGGACCAGCTGAAAGAGTGTGAACATTATGCCCAGACTGCTCAGGGGAGCCACAGTGCCTTGGGATGG